AAATAATTAACTTCCCGTAGGGTAAGTTATAGTAATCGCAAAAAAATCGAAAATGAAAATTTTTATATATCTTTACGTTTCAGAGGTTTCTTAACATTTTGGCATACCTTAGAAAAAATGGATGTATGTGTGTGTGTGTGTGTGTGTGTGTGTGTGTGTGTGTATGTATGTATGTGCGTGTGTGTATGTATGTGCGGATACAAATTTTCGTCGACGATTTCGGGAACACGGATCAACCGATTTGAATAATTCAAAAAACATTCGATTCGTATTGATAAGGAGACGTGCTGATTAGTTTTTGGCGAAGGCAGGTCCAGCCGTTCCAAAGATGCGGGCAAAAAGTGCCGAAAACGGTACTCAGTTTTTAAGAGAACGGAGCGTCCGATTTTAATAATTCAAAAACATTTGACTTGTATTGACAAGATGAAGAATTGATCAAATTTTCATGAGGGCAGGTCTAGCGGTTTCGGAGATCTAACAAAAAAAGTAAAAAAAAATGCCATTTGTCGGTCAAAAATGATCATTAGACATATGCACATCAAATTATCAGATATTTTTATAGAGATTTTAACAATAAGTATAAATTTTGTTTGCATTCCTATGGGTTCCGTACCAATATTTATTCGTTAGACGGTGACGCGGCGCTTACGCGCTTTGACATTTTTCTCTATGCAGTTAAAGCAGTACGATTGCTTTGAAAAAGATCTTCCAAAATATGCCAAAATAAAGAAAACATTATATTTTCCAAAAAAATTAAAAAAAAAAAAAAAAAAATTAGATTTTTTTTTGAAAAAATTTTTTTTCAAAAAAAGTAATTTTTGTTTAATTTATAGTTTTTCAAAAATCTTATTTTTTCGAAGTAAATTTTTTTTAAAATGTCAATCGTTTTTAAAAAATAATAATTTTTGGTACGGGAAGTTCCAGCAATTTGCCTTAAGGCACGATGCCTTAATTGCCTTAAGACAGAATTCCACTTACAGCTAGTTTGATTTCTCTTGGTACATTTCATGATTTTATGTTTCAGGTTTCCGTACCCATATAGAAAACTTTATATATTTTCCAGAAAAATCGATTTGATAATTTGTATTTTTCTCTTTTATTTTGCAATTCTGAATTTACAAAAGTATATGCGTATGTGACTCAAAACTAGATCTTTTGTCGATGCTTACTTGAAATAGTTTCAAAGTTGAATATTTTTTGTACAATTCAAGAATTTTTTAATTTTTAAAAATATATATTGATCTTTTTCAATATTTTTTTTATCGAACTTTTTCATTTAGAAGCCTATAGAGGTAACGTCCTCTCAAACTCAAACATGATTCAATATGATCTTATGTTTTTGTCAAATAATAAAAAATATAAAAATTCAAAATTAATAACAGTTAAATTTAATGTACGTTAGAACATAATTGGTTTATTTTTTCCTATGTTTACTATAGCCCTCCGACGATATCCGAAGAGAACAAACTTTTGAAAAAAAATCTCTCTACTGTCACGACCGTATTAGAAAAAAGTCCGAAATAGAACAAGTAGTTTAAGTTTATTTTAACCGCTCTGTTTTATTATAAAATAAATTAAGCAGTCCAAATAAAATAGACATTTGTAGAGAAACTTTATTTATATATATATATATATATATATATATATATAAATGACTTAATCAATGAAAATTTATACTTATCAACTTTTATAATTGTGACAATAAAATTTCTCTCGATTATGCACCTAAGCATTCAGTCATGCAACTTTTCTGCTAACTATAACGATGTAGTTAAGTAGTTAAAATGTCCAATTTCGGCAACACATACTTTTCCAAGTTGAAACTGTAAGATACCATAAAATGAGCACGTCGGGTTTTCTGGCGAAAAAATAAACTTCGTCTTAGGAAAGTTAACGTATATATGTTTGGATACAATTTTTTGTTCACGATTTCGAGCGCACAAATAAAACGATTCAGATGATTCAAAAAACATTCGATTCCTATTGATGAGGAGACGTGCTAATTAGATTTTGATGAGGACAGGTCCAGCCGTTTCATAAATACGGGGCAAAAAGTACTAAAAACGGTAATTCGAAGCTTTTGAGAGAACGGATTATCCGATTTGAATGATTCAAAAAACATTTTATTTGAAATAAAGAATTGACGAAATTTTTTGAGGCAGGTTTAGCGGTTTCGGTGATACACAGAATAAAGTAAAAAAAAATATATTTGGCGGTCAAAAATGATCGTTAGACATATGCTCATCAAATTTTCAGATATTTGATAAAAACTTTAAAAATGAATACTAATTTTGTTACATTTTTGTTGGGTTTCGTAATAAGATTGTTATTTTTTAAAGGCAACTTATACGGTTCAAGCAAATTTGAAAATTTTCAGAAAAAAAACTTTTTTCAAAATTTTCAAAAATATACTAAGTTTTATAATTCAAATATGAATTTTAAATTTACAATTCAGTTTGAAAATGCATATATTTCAAATGCGTTATTTTATTTGTAAGAAATATATCCTCAGATAGATTTATTCGGCACCTTTTGCTAATGTAAACTTTCTTAAGTGTTTTGACGATAAGATCGTCAGTATATATTTTATGAACGATAAAATATATAGAGATTATAATTATCTATTTGTAAATGTTTCAAGCTTTCAATTGATCATTATTTATTAATTACTGATTTTTTCCCTTGAATATTTAATTCTAGTACGGAAAGTTCCAGCAACTTGCCTTAAGACACGATCTCATGCACCATTAGTTTTTTTTTAAATTTGGCCTCGCTTACTCTGAGCATTTAGCCACCTACAACATTTTTATTTATTTATATTCTAATTTTTAAATCATTTTCAATCTATATATGTATCCTATTCTATATTCTTCTTATTTTCTTCAATTCTTGCTCTTTTTCAAATTTCTAATTCTATTTAACTTCTCGCTTCATTCCATTTTTTTCTTCATTCTTCTTTTAATTTCAGCACAGTTCCAATATTTCTCTTCTTACTCTTAAATACAGCTATTCGAACTCTGTTATTCCTATTTTTCTTAATTTTTATTCAAGTTCTACTTAAACAACATCATTTTTATTTGATTTCAAATCAACTATACATATTTTTTTCCTATATTCTAAGTCAATGATAGGATTTGATCCAAAGATCCTTGTCGTGTGAATCGAACACGCTACCAAGTCAGCTATGCTCGCCACCACCACTAGTTCATTTGGGTAAATCACTACAGGTTTCCGCCGAGGATTTGATAGGAATTAGGGAATGCAATACCGGTTTACCGGTATAGCGAATTACCGGTAAACCGCCCGATTTTTCGGCGGTATTTTTACCGCTATTTGATACATAATGCACTAAAGTTTAAATTTCTCGGAACAAATTTATCGTTAAATTCCATAATCGCATAAACAGCTATATCTTCAAGTGATTCTATAGGATAAACAAATGTCAAATATTATCTCAACTCGTCATTAAATTGAATATTTATTGTTTTACTAAAGGCTTCATATCGTGTTACAATAAATAGAATTGGACTGATAGATAATGATGTTTGTTTTATCTTATGTAGAAATGTAACGGTTTTTAAAGTGATATTTGCGCCAAAATATTTTATATCATACAGAATACTTCTGCGTAATCTTTATTTTTTTTCTAACTTTATACATAATAATTATGATAATTACTAAGTATTTTTACTTCTTATTACAATTATAAAATATTATTTTTCGAAAACGTTTCAAAGTTTGAAAATACTATAGAAGCATCACATTGTTTTAAACGACAATATTCAACAATTATAGTAACTTATTACTTATCTCAACAAAGTATCCGATCTTAAATTAGTGTAGAAAAATTGTTTTTTTAAAATATTGGAGATTATGCTAATTTAACACATCGGACACAGACAATACAGTTTATTATAATAATGTAATATGACGTTTTACAAGTTTTTGGTCTTTCTTACCCATAAGTTTGTTTTTGGTGAAAAGGAATCAATATACTCGATAGTGATAATGAATTAATTAAATTGTATATAATTTTGTTATGTTATTATTTAAAAAAATAAATTTATTGTTATATTTTATTGTTTGTATTGTTTAGTTGAATATAGTTGTAGTTGTATATACATTTTCTTATATTTGTACTAGTAACTTTCAATTTTGTTTACGTTTGTTTAAGATAATAAAAATAACGGTAATTTACCGGTATTCCGGTTTTAAAATGAAAATTTACCGAAATACCGGTATTGATATTTTCCATCGGTATTGCATTCCCTAATAAGAATGAAATATGACAGTTTGAGGAGCAGTGCTCCCTACCCACACACGCACGATGTAGACACTCATACACCTTTACAATATCCCATATGGTCGTTTCGCTTGGAACGAACGCGTTCTCAGTATTTAGTATTAAAAACTCGCTTAGCTTCTCTGTTGGCATTAAAATTACTTTTAAAAGACGTTAAAATAGCGTGCTTTCATTTAACTTAACCTCCATTTAATAATAAACGCAATTTATTTAACAAAACATTTAAGAATAAATAAAACTAACGAGCCGTGTGTCAAAACTTTCAACAACCTAGAAAAAAACTTGTCGACAAAAAACACGAGTGTTAAAAAAATAAGTGTGTGTTATTCAAAAGATTTTTACTAAATATATTTATTATTATTATGATACAAGGGATATTTTTTATGCTCATTCAAAAATTTTGGATGTAGCCCAGTTTCTGGTGCAACCTAAATTCGGTTGTCATTTTGAATTCTGTATTTTCGGCTGTGATTTTATATATTGTGTATGATATTAAATTATTTATAATAAATAATGTTGTGAAGGTTTAATTAACTTAAATTCAGTCGTGATTTAATAATATTAACTAGTTGTTTATTACTAATTAATTAACAGTTGTTTTATTAATAAAAATGTTGTCGTGCAAGATGGAAAAATCTTTGGAGACTTTGCTGTCAAAATGCGAGATTCCGATTATCGATTTAGAACATGTCGGTGAGTTAATATTTAAAATTATAAAAGAACTATTGTATATATTGATGAATAGAATATTCAATTGTAATAAAAATATTTTTTATACTTTACCCAGATAATCCTCATAAATTTTATAGGTAAATAATTTACACTCTTTTTCACTATATTATCGAGTAATGTGTATATTGGATATCGTATCGGACCACAATCAGAATTTAGAAAATATTATAACTAAATAAATCCGAACCAGTTTTGTTTGATGTCTTTTCTAACCCATAGTCTTATAGTCTTGTAATGAATATGTCTCACCAGGTAACTCTCTGCGGCTCTTAGTTATTATTATATTGCATCGGGTCACACTTTCTATTAATTCAAAGATTACTATTAAGAACCAAACTAGTGGTGTATGGCATCGTAAATATATATATAAATATACGCAAATTGCTTGAACTTTCCGTACCAAAAATTATTATTTTTTTAAAAACGATTAACATTTTTGAAAAAAATTTACTTTAAAAAAATTAGATTTTTAAGAAACTATAAATTTGACAAAAAATTACTTTTTTTTGAAAACAAAATTTTTTTGAAAAGAAAAATGTTTTCTTCATTTTGACATATTTTGGAAATTCTGAACTTTTATCAAAGCAATCGTACTGCTTGAACTGCATAGAGACGAAATGTCAAAGCGCGTGAGCGCCGCGTCGCTTTCTAACGGATGACCATTGGTACGGAACCCATAGGAATATAAATAAAATTTATACTTATTGTTAAAATCTCTATAAAATATCTGATAATTTGATGTGCATATGTCTAATGATCATTTTTGACCGCCAAATGGCATTTTTTTTAAAAAAGTAAACTTTTTTCGCTAGATCTCCGAAACCGCTAGACCTGCCTTTATGAAAATTTGATCAATTCTTCATCTTGTCAATACAGGTAAAATGTTTTTTGAATTATTAAAATCGGACGCTCCGTTCTCTTAAAAGCTGAGTTACCGTTTTTGGCACTTTTTGCCCCATATCTTTATGATAGTGTGATAGTGCCTTAAAGCAAATTGCTGGAACTTTTCGTGTCGTACCGAAACGTTCGACGAATATTACATCTTTTTAAATAGATTATTATAAATATTGTAACATTGTCTAATATTTATAAGAATCATATAAACTAAATTGCAAAGTTGAAATTATTTGTTTAAAGTATATTAGAACAGAATTAAAATTAAAATCTGAATTATTTTCGATATACAAAAAAAATTTTTTTTTTTTAATTTTTGCAAGAAAAAAAATGAAACAAAAAAATTTTTTTTATCAAAAGCAATTATTTTGTTGAAACAAACAAAGTTCTTTGAATCATTCAAATCGGACGCTTAGTTCTCTCAAAAACTGGCATTTTTGCACATTTAGCTCTGTATCTTTGAAATGGCTGGACCTGCCTTTGTCAAAAACTAATTACCTCTTTTCCCAATCATTACAAATTGAATGTTTTTTAGATCATTCAAATCGGATACTCCGTTTTCTCAAAAAGTCGATTTGTATTTTCTGCCTTTGCCAAAAACTAATCAGCACATCTCCCTATCAATAGGAATCGAATGTTTTTTGAACCATTCAAATCGGTTGATCCGTGCGTCCGTAAACGTGGACGAAAAAATGCTGACATACAAAACACACACACATCCATTTTTTCTTAGGTATGCCAAAATGTTCAGAAACATTCAAAACGTGAAGATATGCAAAAGTTTTTATTTTTGATTTACGGCCCATTACTATAACTACCCTACGGGAAGTTGATAATACCAAATATTTTCTATCAGATATCTTTACTAATTTGTATTTTTTTGGCGTATGAATAACGTATCAGCTGACAACCATTTGGTATTTTAAGGTAGTTTTAATGAGAAAACTAGTAGTCCACGGCATCGTGCCATATGGCAAATTGCAGGAACTTCCCGTACTTAAAAATTTTGAAAGTTTTAAAAAAGTTTGAAAATTTTGAATTTCTTTGTTAACTTTCCGTATGGTAAGTTATTGTAATCGTCCAAAAATCGAAATTGAAAATTTTTACATTTCTCGACGTTTTGAAGATTTGTGAACATTTTGTCATACCTCAAAAAAATGGATGTGTCTTGGATATAATTTTCCGTCCACGTTGTCGGGCGCACGGATCAACCGATTTGAATGGTTCAAAAAACATTCGATTCCTATTGATAGGGAGATGTGCTGATTAGTCTTTTGCAAAGGCAGGTCCAGCCATTACGGAGATACGGAGCAAAGAGTGCAAAAAATACAAATCGAGTTTTTGAGAGATCGGAGCATCGGATTTGAATGATCTAAAAAACATTCAATACGTAATGACGGCGAGAAGTGGTGATTAGTTTTTGGCAATGACAGGTCCAGCAGTATCGGAGATACAGAGCTAAATGTGCAAACAATGGCAGTTTTTGAGAGAACTAAGCTCAGATTCAAAGAACTTTTTGCTTGTTTAAAGCAAAATATATGATTTTGAAAAAAAAATTCTTTCAAAAATTTTTTTTAAATTTTTTTTTTCAAAAAAATTTTTTTTTTTGTATATCGAAAATAATTCAGATTTTATTTTTAATTCTGACTAAAGTTCTAATATACTTTAAACTAATAATTTCAACTTTGCAATTCAGTTTATATAATACTTATGAATATTTAACGATATTACAGAATTTATAATGTTTGAAAACATTCAATATTCCTCGAACATTTTGTTACGGTACGGAAGTTCCAGCAATTTACCTCAAGGCACGTTGCCAGAATGTTCAACAACCAGTGAAAAGTAAAAATATGCGAAAATTTTCATTTTCGATTTTTTTAACGAATATAACTTACCTTACGGGAAGTAAATAAATCTCAATATTTTTTAATAATATCTCTAGCAACTTAAATTTTGTGATGTTTATAGGTCGCATCAGGTCACACTCTGCCGTAATTTAAAACTTTATTTTGATTTGAAAATCAATCCGGATCTTTCATTCGATGTCTGTATTTATCACATAATTTTGTTGTTTATATGATATCGCATCAGGTCACACTCTGCTAAGGAAAAAGAAGAAGGAAGAAAAGAATTCCCAATATTTTTTATTACTAATTTATACTGTATAGTGCATATATTGTGTCGCACCACAATCCGTTAGAATTTAATTTCTGATTATTTATTAACTTCCCGTAGGGTAAGTTATTGTAATCGTCCAAAAATCGAAATTGAAAATTTTTACATTTTGAAGGTTTCTGAACATTTTGGCATACCTCAGAAAAAATTGATGTGTGTGTGTACAAATTTTCGTCCACGTATTCGGGCGCACGGATCAACCGATTTGAATGGTTCAAAAAACATTCGATTTCTATTGATAGGGAGGTGTACTGATTAGTTTTTGGCAAATGGAGGTCCAGCGGTTTCGGAGATAGGGAGCTAAATGTGCAAAAATGGCAGTTTTTGAGAGAACTAAGCGCACGATTTGAATGATTCAAAGAACTTTCTGCTTGTTTTAACAAAATAATAGCTTTTGAAAAAAATTGTTTAATTTTTTTTTTGTATATCGAAAATAATTCAGATTTTAATTGTAATTTTGATTTAAGTTCTAATATACTTTAAACAAATATTTTCAACTTTGCAATTCAGTTTATATAGTTCTTACAAATATTAGACAATGTTACAGTATTTATTTATAATAATCTATTTGAAAACATTTAATATTCCTCGAACATTTCGTTACGGTACGGGAAGTTCCAGCAATTTGCCTCAAGGCACGATGCCATACACCCCACTAGTTTTCTTGTTGGTATGAAAACTATCAATAAGCAATTACTAATATTTATCAATAGATTTTTTACTATTATAAATATATATATATATATATATATATATACTGGAAGACCCGACAGACGTTGTCCTGTACCCACATCTACATTTTTTTATTATCCTATACTAATATTTACCGCTCAGTTAAAAATAATAATTAATTGTTTTTCGAATTACTATTTACACAAATATATCAGTGATGTTAAATGTAGAACTACTTCAAATAAAATGATGATTCTAAATTCCTACAGTTAACATTTTAATTAACCCTTTAACACATATTAAAATATGATCAATAAAATTGTATATTAAAAATTATACACTGCTATTTATAGAACAAATTTATTTCTAATTTTTTTTAATGCCAAGGGTTATCCAATATTTTTAGTCATACCTGTAGATGTGGATGAATAAATCAATGACTTTTTGTTTTTTCACGACTAGAACATTGATTTTCCAAATTTATCACACAAAAAATCGTCTGCCTTTGTGATTTATAGCATAAGATATACGTATTGAAGTCTTTTAAAAGGTATAACAAATTCGCGGTACAGGTACAATAACCCCTTTAATTTTTCTACCCAAAATAATTGCTTCAATAATGTTGCCTATAATTTTTATAATTTTGTACCATATTTTAACTGGCTTTTAGTATTTTTAATATGTAAATTACATTTTTCTCACTTATAATTCAATATACTTTATTACAAGTTCATATTTGAAGTGAATTAATTTGTCAAATCCTGTTCACATGTGCTCTATTCAACCTACGATCAACAAAATTATTGCAGTAAATAGAGAGGAAAAAAGCGCGTGGCCTGCGATTTTTTTACTGTGCTGATATTTTGATATTTTGGAAATAGGCTAATCTTAATCTTAAGTTCAGAAGTGAAAACAATTTGCACTTCTTTACCACTCCCGGTATTAATTGGATTAAAACTCATTTAATTCTGATTTTATTAAATATATTATTGTAATTGTAATATACTATTTTAAAGGTAATTAAATGAGCTAAAACTTTTTCTGTCATAAATTTTACCGTGACTTCTCTTATTTTGAAACGGCGAAGTGTTAAAGCTCGAAAGACACTCTGGTTGGACAGCCGCGCACTCTAGAAACAATCATAGGCTATGATTGAAAAAAATTGAGCTATTGGAAATAAATTTGTTCTATAAATAGTAGTGTATAATTTTTA